TATATTAGTATTAGATATTTTTTTTTTTTTTCTCAATGTCCGTTTCCTTTTTCAGTTCCGTTACGTTCGTTGAAGTGTGCGTCTTATGCATGGATCATTATTCGTGATGGAAAGTAAAAAAAAAAAAATACTAAGTAAATATATAGGTTAAACAATGATATATATAAAATACAGAGGTAGCAGCGGCACAGCTGTGTGAAAAAAAAAATATATATATATATATAAAAGATAGTAATAAAAAATTCCCGTAGCTACTTTTTTGATATGATAGTAATAATAGTAATAGTAATACTAGTTAACTAGTAGTAATAATAATAAATATGCTGGTGGTATGTGGTCATGGTGGCGTATAATAATAATGATAATAATAAATAGTAAAAAAAAAAAAAAGAAAAGTTGTAACAAGAGAAGAGAGTGTAGTGTGTAGGGTGAACAATCGTGAGAGAGGATCTATATATATCGAGAGATAATGCGGATAATGATATCGATCATGACGATGATGAGAAAATGATGATGATCAGAGAAAGGGGGTCAACGATAGTTGCTAATAATACCGATGATAATGATGACAGTGATGATGATAGATAATAATGATATAATAATGATAATTATCAAGGGGATGAATAAATATGTAATATATATAGATATATAGACAATATATGTAATAACGATTATATCGATCTATATAGTCAGTTATACACAAATTAGAATTATTGAGATTCAACTAGTTATGGATCTCAGAAGCGAGCATCGTTAAATAGAAGCGATCTCTATAATTAAACTTTCTGATAATATCTTGACACGTTTTTATAACGTGTAACTTTCTTTTTTTTAAATAAAATTGCAGTATTACTACTTAAGATTAAATCGAGAATCATCAAGAAATGATTTATGACAACTATGATTTATTTATTATTAAATATTTTATTATTATTATTTTATTATATATTTAATTTATTATTATTTATATTATTAAATAATGATTGCAAAATTATTTTTCAAACTACATCACTATTCTTTATTTGAATTAAAACGTATTAAGACTTATTGGCGATTTAGAGTCGTTTCTTTCAACGAGACTCATCGACTGTTAAAAATATCGATTAAGTTCGTGACTTGATTGAAAAAAAATATCGAGAATCGCTCAATGCAGAAATAGTGGATCGAAAGTAAACTTGATCTTGCAATAAATGGCTGGTTAATAGTCTTTTTTCAAAAGGCACAATTCTATAGAGAACGATTACACAAACGACCACGAAACTGTTCTGCATCGATCTACGCGATTCATTCTATATATCTTTTTTGTATGTGTTTTTTTCGTGTAAATTTGTTCACCTTCTGCCACGTATGATGTCCGTTTTTGATTCGAGAAATTTGAAAAAGATTTGATCAAAGAAAAATAAATCACAAGTATTCTTTAGAATTAATTAACTTATATGTGAATATATAAATATATATATGTGTGAACGTTCGAGAACCATCGTCCTTGTATAATATAATATTAATCGATTAACTGGAAAAAAAGGAATATGTTACATCGGGTTATTGGATGAAGCAGCAATAAAAAAAAAAAAAAAAAAAGAAAAATGAAAAAGAAAAAAAATGAAAGGGAGGGAAAAAAACGATTGAGATCCTTGAATTTTCAACGAGGCAGAGCAACGACAAACTTGGCTTGTTGCGTAAAAGGCAGCCAGAGATAATGAAGGAAGAGATACACAAGATGATAAGGTTAAAAATACTTGAAAGAAATGCTAAAAAAAAAAAAAAGAAAAAATATCAATGGTGTAATAAAATTGAAAAAAAATACACGAAATAAAATAATATCTCGCTAAAGATGAAAATAATGTGATGATAATGATGGTGTCGTATCGGAAGTCAACGATCGGTGAAACACATTTTCCATTTATCGAATTATGAACGATAGGAAGGAAAAATATATATATATATATATATGTATATACATATACATACATATAAGAAAATCGAGAAGAGATAAAAATTCTGTATTTAGGGATCTCGATACGTCATCATTGATGGAATTACTTTTAAAGTCAAAGAAGTGCGATGAGGGGAAAGGAAAAAAAAGAAAAAAAAAAAAAGAGCTTGATGAGGGGCCAACATGGCGGATGGTCGACGGTGGCGACACAAGTTTTGAAACAAGAATAAGTGGGGGGCAAGAATAATATCGGAGAAAAAGCCGAGCTTGGAAAAAACGGAGTAGAGAAATAGATTCAATAGAGAAATAGAGAAGAGATATAGATAGATAGATAAAGAGAAAGAGAGTGATCGGCTTACCTTTGGCATTTAACGAAATGACACACTAATTACAAGCGAAGATCATCTTTATGGAAGCGACTGTTTGACTGGCAATTACAATTTCTTTCGTTTCTTTCCGTGTTCGTTCGAAGAAAGAGGAAATATCATCGAAAAGAGAAAGTTGTTCGATTGCTCGTTCCACGATTCTTTATTTTAAAAAAAATTTCTTTCATTTTTTTTTTTTTTTTGATATTTCATATAATTTTAATTTTTGACAATTAATTCTTCGTAATCCATTCTACGTATATATTTTCTTTTTAAAGAGAATTCTTTTCTAAATTTTTTTTTATAAAATACACCGAAAATATGGATTATCAAATGAATATCATTTGAATAAATTTACGATGTCTCTGATGAAATTGTTTGATCGAACAATCGACATACACGGTTAATCGTGGACGAGCAAACGTCATCGATCAAGATTTACGATCCATCTTTGAAGCAAATATTCGACCGGGCTCTCGAAACAAGAGAGGATAACGGAAAAAGAGTGAGAGAGAGAGAGAGAGAGAGAGAGAAAGATAAAGAAATAGAGAGATAGAATATATTAAAATTTGAGATAATAAAGCTCTAGTGTGTAATACCCAATTATCAAAATGCCCTGAAGTGTTATACCTTCGTGCACCATTCTCCGTTACCTTGTTAGATCATCGATCATTTATCATCCCCTAGCGTGTCTGAGTCCCTTGACCAAAAGGCATCGAACAAATTAAACCCACAGCCTTTGGCGTTCGACCAACAAACGCTTACAAAGCGAAACACAAAAGTGACAGAAAAAGAAATAGAAGAATATATATATATATATATACATATACGTATATATCAAAAGAAAAAAAGAAAAAAAAAAAAAAAAGAGTTAAACAGGAATCATATATACATCGAAATTTTATCTTATCTTTTTTTTTTTTTTTTTAAATTCGCGTTTTTTTCGACAAGCTTCAGCGAAAGCTTTCCTTTTTCTTACGATAAGGCAAAAAAGCGTATCGATCGTTTAAACAGTTGTTCAAATACGAGACAAGATTTCTATTTATCCATTTTTATTACATCCGATCTCTTTAATGCGATGCATCAGTTGAAAAGTGGCATTCACACGATGGACTGTAGTAACTGATTAGTCGTTCGTTCACGTTTCGTTAGCAAACGTCAAAGTTTCGTTCAAACAAACAAATTGGACGATATCGTGTAATATCATCAATTTCGAAAAAACGATATTTTTCAAAAGAAAAGAAAAAAGAAAAAAAAAACGAGAAATAAAAAGCACGGAGGGGGGGGGGGGGGAAAAAGATACAACATCCAACAATTTTTACACACGGATTCACAAAATCAGGCTAGGGATTAATTTGTACACGAGAGAAAGAGGGAGAAAGAGAGAAAGAGAAAAAGAGATAGATAGTTAGAGGGAGAGAGAGAGAGAGAGATAGAGAGAGAAATTCGTTGTCACCTCGTTACCACAGTTACCACGTAGGTCTCTGCTCGTGACGAGACAACGAGTACATTTTCTTTTTTTTACGATCTTGCAGAATATTGAGAAACGTGTCGTGAAAAATCTCTGTACCCGTATTATATGTATCCCTTTGTTTTAATTATATTTTTTTTTTTTTCTTTCTTTTTAAAGTGTTCGAGAACGAGTATATACGAGACAGAACGAACTAGCTACTGTACAATAATCATAGGAATAAGTAAGAGGTGTATACACGACCAATAGACAGGTAATGGAGATCTTTGTGATCTTTCGATTCTTGATACTATAAATTTTGCACATGTATATATTTACAAATATATATTCTTTCAATTCTTTTTTTTTTTTTTTAGATCCATATTCTTACGTTCTTCATTATTTAAAAAAAAAAATAATAACAACGATAGAAAGTTGTTGATGAATATATATATCTAATTTATCAGAAAGAAGGAAAATCTTTCAAGAATCAAGAGATCACGCGTCACCAATTACGCTTTCTGACCATAAAAAGTCGATCATGGTGTAAAGTAGTGGTAATAGTATTTGTATAGTAGTTGCAGTAGTAGTAGTAGTAGTAGTAGTAGTAGTAGTAGTAGTAGTGACAGTAGCAGTAGTAAGTATAGTAAGAGTATCTTTCTTATACTTTCTTTCTTTTTTTTTTTTTTATTTTGTTTGGTCAAGATTCGGTTTATGTTTGTTGATGTGTTACCTTTCGTTAACTAGCTTGTCAGTGAAGGGGTTTCGTGGATGTCGCTTCATAATATCGCTCTCTGCCTCCTCGTAGGCAAGTGAGATGGCTGGCACCTGACGTCACATTATCAATCAAGGCTCAAGTAACAACGCCAACGGTTAGAACATGATGATGATGATGATGAGTATCGTTTTCTCGCTGACCCGCGATACAAGGATGCTGATTAATTTCCGTTCTTCATTTCGAGGGGAAAAAAAAAAAAAAAAAAGATGGAGAATCGACAAAAAGGAA